CGTACCCGGCTGACTATAGCACGGCTCGGTAGAGTAAAATAGATACATATATATAATGCATGCTCGACTTATGGAATCACATTCTAAACCTTTTGGAGTGACGTAAGGTCGGTATCCTCTGTACTCCGAGATCGTGTTGACAAATGGTTTAATGCGTTGGAAACTAGACTCGTAGATATTTAATTTAGTGGGTATATCACCTCATAATTCCTTGTAAATTAGGAGAAAAGCGTAGAAACATTTAACCTAATGTTTAAGTAAAATTATGAACCTAAGTTGCGACAACGTTTGTCGACTTTTGTTTCATAACTCGTTTGACATCAAGACTTATGATACCGATATTATATGATTCAAACACCTTAATACATAACCTTGAGTGTATTAAGAACCTCTAGGTTTACCTGAAAATACGAGTTACCACATCCTTGATTCGTTTAACTTCTAATACTTGTTAATCACCCTTATACACCTTTGTATCACTTAAGACCAATATGATTAACTTCTTATCATCTCAAAGGTAATTCCTTCTTGAATTTATGTTAACTAATATATGGCATGAACTAACGCGTGTGGATATGGGTTGTAACAACACACATCCATGATGAGATTTTCTTCTCTGACTGTTTAGGGTACACCCCCACACTTGTCATGCTTACCCTCTCCAGCTTGCTCCTTTAAGGCCTTTGCCTTGACTTCAAAGTATACAGTCAACTCATCTCTATGTACCCATATTGCTTCCTTCATCTTCAACACCACTCTTTCTTCTCCACTTTTAGTATGAGATGCCTTTCCTGAATATCCAGAATAGCTCTACCATTAGCCAAGAAAGGTCTCCCTAGAATAAGAGGGACCTCCTTACTCTCTTCCATGTTCACTACGATGAAGTCCATAGGGAACCCAAATTTGTCCATCCAAACTAGCATATCTTCCATTATTTCTTCATGTATTATTGTGGTCTGATCTGCTAGCTGCAAAGACACATGTACAGATTTGATTGCTCTAATTTGTTTCTCAAGTTTCCAAAAAATAGAAAAGGGCATAAGACTAATAGAAGCACCTGAATCACACAAAGATTTTTCAAAGTTGTTACTTCTTAAAGAGCAATGTACAGTGAAACTCCCTGTATCTCCACACTTTTGAGGGAGCTTATTTTGCAGAATAGTACTACAATGATCTGTGAGCTTGACTACCAATGTCTCTTTCACTTTTCCCTTGTTGGATAATATCTCCTTAATGAACTTGGTATATGTTGGCATCTGTGAGATCACCTCTGTGAAAGGTAGATTAAATGCACCTACTTGAGTAGTTCTAAAAAACGCCCAAATTAGTTGTCGAGCTTCTCTCTTCTTTTTTTCCGTGGGAAAGGTAGAGTAGGCATATATTTTCTTTCCTCAATCTCCTCATTTGATGTAAACTAAGAGTCCACCAAATTGTAGGGGAAACTTGGTTCTCTATTTGGTTTCGCAGAACACACACACAGTGGTAAGTAAATATCACAATAATATTTTACGTGAAAAACACCCAGCTCACGAGATTAAAAACTTCGACCTACACTCATAGGATTTCAACTTCACTAAACGAGCAACTTTAGATTACAACCTATTGTAACCTAGGAATTAAACTCTTAATACCTCACCTACTTGCAATAACTATATTTCAAGCCTCTTTATAATAACTCTATTACAAAGCTAACCACTTTGACTAACTCTAGTCAAACACAAACACAAGGTTTATAGTTTACAAAGGTATCCTACAAGATGCTTCTAAATATGCTGAGTAGGAGATACAACTGAATAACNTATATATATATATATATATATAAAGTTGGAAAACCTCCACTCGGCATATACAAGTAAAACTAGCAATCTTGAGCAAAACAACTCCCAAAAAACCCAGTAGTCACAAGTTATAAGCTCTAAGGAAAAATGCTCTAACTGTCTCTATACATCAGTGTTTAGAAAAAGAATAAGAAGAAATAACATATAGGATAGAGGGAGACTTCAAGGTCTGCGGATGCTGGCAGATATACCTTGAAGTCTCTGAAAGCCACAGCAAATACTCTCGACTAATAGCGGGGCTGGTAGGAGATACCTGGGTCTGCACACAAACCATGTGTAGAAGAGTAGCATGAGTATACCACAATGGTACCCAGTAAGTACCAAGCTTAACCTCGGTAGAGTAGTGATGAGGTCAGGTTAGGGCGCTACTGGAATATAATAATTTAAGGCAGAAAATATAGAAATATAATAAGAGACTGGAAATTTAACAAGGAGAGATTACAGAAAGATAACAGCACAGCACATAGGGATAAATAACAGGGGCGCCCCCGAGATACCATCTCGTAGTCCCAAAAGTAAATTCTCAATAGGGGATCTCCCGAGGTACCGCCTCGTAGTCCCAAAATTAAAATATACAATGGGGATCTCCCGAGGTACCGCCTCGTAGTCCCAAAATTAAAATATACAATGGGGATCTCCCGAGGTACCGCCTCGTAGTCCCAAAAGTAAATATGCGACAGGGGATCTCCCAAGGTACTGCCTCGTAGTCCCGAAAGTAAATATGAAACAGGGGATCTCCCGAGGTACTGCCTCATAGTCCCAAAAGTAAACACACAAAAATAAATACAGCAAGAAATCATACAGTTTAAGACTAAATACAAGTCAAGGAAAACGCAGGAAATCAACTAAGCATGTTGTACATGTTTCAAATAAGCAATTAAGACACATAGACAGGCAATATTAGGCTAAGCAGGATAACTACACATGTTGGTATAACTCAATTAAGATGTAACATGTTACTTCTCAGTAATAATCAAATTTTACAATAATTAGTCTGTGTATGCACTCATCACCTTGCATACACGATACTCACACATCACTGAAGTATCATAACAGTACCAAATCCCAAGGGGATTTTCCCTACACTAGGTTAGGCAAGACGGTTACCTCGAACCAAGCTTAATATATCAGTAAGAATGCCTTTCACGACTTTCTGACTTCGAATGGACAAAATCTAGACAAAAGCAATTACATACCATGAATATAACTTTAAGAAATTAGTTTAATTAATGAAATCAAGACTTTAGCAAGAAATTAGAAAATCGCCCCAAAAGTCGACATGGGCCCACGTCTCAAAATCGGGTAAAAGTCACAAAATATGAACACTCATTCAACCACGATTTCACTATTTGTAATTACTCAAATCTGATACCAAAATCTCAATCAAAACCCAAAAATTCGGTTGAAGAACTTTCCAACTTTTCCGCCAATTTTCTCAACCTAAATCCTTAATTAAATGATGAAATTAACGATAGTTTGGTGGAATATAAACAAAAACGAGTTAAGAATAATTACCAAATAGTTTCCTCTGAAAATATCTCAAATTATCACCTCAATCGGAGCTCTCAAAGTCTCAAAATGAAAATGAGATCAAACCCTCGTAATTTCCTCTTTTCTACCCAGCGATTTTGCTTCAGTGAGGGGATCACTGCATCTGTGGTTCCGCACTTGCGGAAAAACCATCGCAGGTGCGGACTTCACTTAAGTCCACAATTCCACTTCTGCGAACAAAAGGGCCACACCTGCACGCACGCTTCTGCGGAATACCTCCGTTTCTGCAATCAATGGTCTTCCTAACCTTCTGCTTCTGCGTTCTATCTTTCGTAGAAGCGACTCTGCTTCTGCGGCCTTCCCGTCGCACCTGCGACCATAGGAAAAGCTTCTCCAGATCGCACCTGTGATCCTCCTCTCGCACGTACGAGTCCGCACCTGCGGCCAACCCAACCGCAAGTGCGATGACACCAGAAGCTGCAATGCTTCAGCGATTCTCACAAGTCCAAATTGAATCTGAAAATGATCCGAAACAAACCCGAGGCCCCCGGGGCCTCAACCAAAGATACCAACAAGTCCTAAAACACTATACGAACTTAGTCGAGCCCTCAAGTGACACTAAACAACAATAAAAATACAAATCGCACCCCAATTAAAACTTAATAAACTTTGAAACTTAAACTTCTACAACCGATGTCGAAACCTATCAAATCACGTCTGATTGACCCCAAATGTTGCACTCAAGTTCCATTTGACATTACGAACCTAGTTCAACTTCCGAAATTGGAATTCGACCCCGATATCAAAAGTCCACTCCAGGACAAACTTCCCAAAAATTCAACTTTTGCCATTTCGAGCCTAATTCAGCTATAGACCTCCAAATCACAATCCAGATATGCTACTACGTCCAAAATTACCCTGGAGCTAACCGAACCGATGAAACTCCATTCTGGAGTCGTCTTCACAATTCCAACTACGGTCAAAATCTTAGAACTTAAGCTTCCATTTTAGGGACTAAGTGTCCCAATTCACTCCAAAACCAAAAACAAAACCTCCCGGTAAGTCATATAAGCATAAAATGATACGGGAGAAGCAGTAAATAAGGGATCGAGGTTAATACTCCCAAAACGACTGGGTGGGTCATTACAATAACATTAATAAAGATACAACAATACTAGGGACAAACGATGTACCCAATGTTGGGGTTTGGTCATTCGTTCTGTTGATGCTTTATTCTTGAATGCCTTGGAGTAAACAAAGGCGGTTGCACACTTGAGAGTAAAATATGTTTTAGGGTTTGCAAGTGTGTATAATCCCTTGCCTCATGTTGATAATATATAAGTAAGGTCACTAGGATGATGCAAGCAAGTATCTGATACACAGCATGCTTCAACAGTGACTTCTGTTGTTGCGTGTGTAGTGCAGCATCTTTAACAACTGTAAAGAGTCGACTTGTACTATGACTGGAGAAACTGATAGTCATCTGTTCCCTCTACCATTCCCTTAAATGATTTTATTGGAACTTGTGCCAGACATTTGACTTGTTGTTCTAAGCACGAAGAGGCGTTGTATCTGGTTCTCATATGAAGTTTGTTAAATCATCAAAATAAAAAGGAACATAACTTATCAATTTTCCTCTTTTGATGATGACAAACTTAAAATTGAAGTTTCCCATGAGAACCAGATCTTCATAGTGTTCCCCTGCAGATTAGCGATATTCCCCCTGAGAACCTGTTTCTCCCCGCTCTCTGGGGTTCAGTCACACCAAAATAAAAATCCAAATTCCCTCAAAAGTGAAACTGTGGTAGATGTTGTAATGGTCCGGCGATGATCCCGCTTGAATGGTTCCAAAGTTGTAATTCGATCCTAATCATTTTTACCCAAATCCTTTCAAGTCCTTCCGATCAATCGGCGAGAATGTTCAAGGATCAGAGAATATGACTACTTGGATCCGATGCAATAAAAATGAGAGAAATAAAATAAGAGACTCTTATTGGTGAAAACTCACACGGGCACCATGAGGCGATGGCAAGAAGAGAAATGAAAAATAAGAGAGTCTTGTTAGTGAAAACTCGTAAAAGAGCATTATAAGGCGAGAAGAAAAATAAGAGAGGTCAGCTCGTGAAAACCCGCAAAAGGCGCCCCTGATCGAAAAGAGGATCCTTACAGCCATCGGCACCGACAGAGTCCTGGCAAGGTTTCTCGATTTTGAGGAAAATATTGTGATGAATTTTTGAGAGTCGGACGGTTTACACAGATCAAGCATCCAGTCCAAAAGGCATATCATGTTCATTGAAGTCTGCAAGTACTCCAGATAGGTCCTTCTTTCCTTTCCCCGAAAGGGACACTTCTTGTTTTAAACTCATTCTCCATTCCATTGTTTGTTTTCTTTGAATCCCTTTCGGTCAAACACTGTTCCGAAACTAAGACAAAGAAAGGATGGCAAGACTGATTTATAGGGTTCTCATTTGGCGCGAGCTAATATGCAGAAAGGCACCCAACCTCGTACGGGCATCAAGTCGACCCCGACTAGCCATGGCGGCCGATGCTTCGAAATCAAAACTCTTGGAAAGAGAAAATCAAATGGAGCGCCTATAAAGGCAAATGAAGTTGAAAAGGTTGAGTCCCACTTGGCTAACCGTCTCGGCAAAGAGTTCAAAAAAGCCAAGGGATCCCAAATGCTCTGAATTTGAAGTTGGGAGAAAGAAGCCAGAAAAGAAAGGCCAACGAAGGCGAAATAAAATTGGAAAAGGTTAAGTCCCACGCGACTAGCCGTTGCAGCAAAGTTTGAGGAGCAGAAAGTTCCCCAATGCTCCGAAGAAAAGAAAAGAAAACAAATGATGAAAAAAAAAAGAATATAAAAAAAAAGAAAAAAAATAGAAATCGGAAGGAAAAGGCCTACGAAAGCAAGATAAAGTCGAAAAGGT